TTAAGGGTGTGTACTAGGGATGTAACGATTAACTGCGAGCCGGTTGAAAATTGATTCAAATACGTGACGATTCAAATCGGTTGAGATGCTAAACAAATCGCGATTCATTTAGGTGTAGGAGTTTATATGAATGTATGTCTGAGGGGAACTTACTGTCTTTAGAAAAGTTTAGATGGTATTTTTTCTTTTCATCTTGCCTCTGTATAATGCATATTAAATCTGTAAGTTCAGCGCTGCTTTGTTTACAGCGGAAACCAAAGAAACGGTTTAAGCGCCACCTGCTGGCAGAGAGTGCATCTGCATCTCATTCAGCTCGTCTGCTGTTTCATGCAGATATTTACACACTTGTCATGTTTGGTTCGATTAAAACGAACTCTAGTGCGATTGCCCTGTTAGTGCGGTTTGTTTGAGTAAGTATGAACGCTGCCATCCGAGCCCTGGTGCGCACCAAACAAGCGGACCGAGGCTGCTAAAAAGACAGGTCTCGGTCCACTTCCAAACTGGTGTGGTTTGAATAAAATATGAATGCAACGTGGACCAAATACTTCTAAATGAACCAAAAACTGGATGTAATGACAAGATGTCACATTATGCGACATGATTTGACAAAGCGGAACGAGCACAAAATGAGCAGAGGGCAAACTTGGAGCAACGAGGAGGTAAAGTGACTTTTATGAGCTCTTCTTCAGTTCGCAGGTGCATGGTAAAAATAAGATCATATGTACACGCAACAATGAGCGCGCTTAGTCCATCAGACGTATTCGACTTTGATGTCATACTCCGATTGGTCTGCGCAGTGCCGCTTTAAGTTGAACACACCTATTTTTCGGAGTGTTCTGTAAGTTCCATCACGAAATATATGTCATTCAAACCAACCATTCAGGTTGTGAACGTGTGACTCTGCCTTTAGGTTCAGTATCTTTAGGTTCGCTGTCAAAAATGCCAGTGTGAACGCTAAGCAGACCAGGACCAAATGTATCGTATTCTTTTTTTGGTCCGGACCAAACGAACCAAGAGAACCGAACTATAAATGTGAACGCACCCTTAATGTTCTAAAAATCTAACCCTACCTCATGGCAATTCAAAATTATTTTATGTTTTGAAGAATTGGAGGCTAATTCGTATGAATTTGTTTTCGTACAATCTGCTTACATCCCAGTGACCATTATGTTTAGGGTTTTTTCTAAAATTAGTTCATTTTCATACCATTTACATTGTACAAATTCAAACGATATCTCCATCTCATAAAATAGTTATCTTTTTCCTTAAGACTGAGCTGAATTTATGCCTATATGAGATCTTCATACACTGTCATCTTTCATGGCTTTGCAGGCACTGAATATTCCATGAGGGAAAAAAGGGTATTTTTATGCTGATTTAGAGGAACAGTCTCTGGAATAATGGTCCATGATCGCTTTCACAGTCAAATCTCTTTAGTCTCCACATATGACCTATGAAAACATACATGGCCTTTCAATCCCATCCAACCAGAGGAATAACACATTTCAGGAGCGCCGCGTGCTGCACAGGATAAATCCTCTTTCTTACCAGAGACACGTCGACCAATTCAGTTCCATCATTGCTAAATCAGCTGCAAGCATAAAAGCCGCTCCAGATTACAAATGATTATGGTAAAAATAACAAAACTCCGGCCTGACCTTTAACCATCATCTGTGCGCTCTATTAGACTGGGACGTCTGTCTCAGGGGCCGGCAATCTGGGCCTTCTCTCTCTCTTATTTTGGGGAAAGATTAAAATTTGCTGTAGGACGGCAAGTCACAAAAAAGCAATTTCCAGCTCCAAGCCACAAACTCCACTGTGACGTGATGTTCCAGATGCGAGCCTTTCTCTCCCCCACGATCTAAATTTATGGGACGATGATATGTGGGATTTTTGTTCATACATCCAGATCCATTTTGCAGGTTTACATCAAGAGTTTCAAATCGAGTAATTTCACAAAAATGTGAGCACCATGAACATCAACTATACAAACTGACAACATTTTTAGTGGACATCCACCCAGCGAGGGAAAACGGGTAGCTTTAACCACCAGTATGTGATAAATCAATACATTTACAAAATACTAAACCACAAACTATCTGCGGTTACGCCGAATACTTGCAAGACCCTGCCAAATCCATAAACACTATAATTACAGCCTTTTATAGAAAAGTTAAAGTACATTTAGGTCAAAGTTCTGAGGGAGCCAGTTGCGGAGATGTTGGCGTAAACCAGCTGAGAGATGCAGAAAACACTTGCCTTGCAAGATTTCTAAGCTGGACGCAATTACCAACCAACGTGAACTATAATTTCAAACAAATCATGTCTGGAACTGCAAAACCAAACATGTCTCTAATTGACTGACTCATCTGTAAATCACCAAGTACAGCATTTCTGAACGAGGGCTGACAGCACTAATAGATTTAAATCTCTTGCCTTTACAGACTGTAACTTAATAACATACCAAAAAAACTGCATAAATGATGGCGGATTCCATCATTCGGAGACTGTGGACATACCAGTGAGCTTACACTGAAAGTTTTAGCCATGTCCTAGAGATGGCAAAGCTCAAATGGAGAGAAACGCTTTGACTGAACAGTCTTTTGTTTGGGGACTGGTGGCTGGTACTGAGAGAGTACCGTGTGCACAGCACATTCCAGAGTCCTGGTCCAGAAAACAGCACATTTGTAAATGAGATCAGTAACAAGAGCACTTGGGACATTTTTGGACTATTCTGGGACTATTTCAGGACTAAAGGAGAATTCAAATTCCTTTCTTATGCCACAGGGATAAAAGGAGGAGCACACTGTGATGGCAGTGTTGTTTTCAAATTTAACATAATAAGTAATACATTTCAAAACCTTTTACAATTGTTAGTAAACATGAAAAGGAAAAAACATGCTTAAAGGGACAGTTCACCCAAAAATGAAAATTCTGTCAGCACTTACTGCTTCTCAAATTGTTGAACACAAAAGAAGATATTTTGAAGAATGTTGGGAACCAAACAGTTGCTGGAGCCATTGACTTCCATAGTAGTAATTTTTCCCTATTATGGAATAAATGACTACAACTGTTTGGTTACCAACATTCTTCAAAATATCTTCTTTTGTGTTCAACAGACGACAAAAACTCATAGGAACAACATGAGGGTGAGTAAATGACAAATTTGGGTAAACTATCGCTTTAAAGTTCATTTTATAAAATTGTACTGGTGCATTACGTAAGCTCAGTTATGTTGTCTTTTGTTGCACAATGACAGACACTACGTGACACTTACATGCGAGTTTCATAACAGAACGTGCAAGTGAGTTGTTACCATGTTCAGTCGTCATGCCTACGATTCCACATACCTGTCAAAGCAAGGCAGAAACGCTACAGATCACGACTCATGAAAGAAACGTCAGTAATGGGTGTGATCAGAGTGAAACTTTAAATCAGTCGAAACTGAAATTCGACATATCGCGCATTCTAATCGATACATAACTCAAACAAGAAATCCAAAATATGTTGAAACACATACGGTTTGGGAGTTTTGTAAATGTGATGGGAATACAACACAAGTACCAGCGTTGTGTAGTAAGTATAAGCAGATTAGCTTTTCCAATCCTCTAAGGATGTTTCATGAGAAACTATAAAAATACGATTATTGTCTTCAAAGTAGCCCAGTATTTGAGCCACTTACAGCACGTAAGCCGAGCAGGCGAAATCCTGACTGGTGTAAAATTCAATTATCATAATACTGAGAAGTATGCAAGTACCAAGAGTCTGTGAAAGGGAGATGGAAAGGAATAATATCAAGAACCTGACCATAAATGTAGAAAAAACACAACAACTGCAAACCACAAGACGTGCCATGTTTACTTTGGGCATGAAAGAAACCATTTTAAAATAATAACAGCAATCAGACAGTGTATTAAATGCAATAAATCTTTCTCTGGGACCCAACTTTTCAAATTATTATCTTTAACTGTATTTAGCACATTCATTTGGCATCATTTAAAGCAATATGTCTTCATGTTCTGATGAGAGCTCAAGGGTCCTGAAATGTACAGATAGTATTGAAAATTAACCACACATTCTACAAAGTGTGGCTTAGTATAGTAACATTTTTTTCCTGTTTAGTGTCAATTCGATTCCAGTACAAACATGTTGTATAAAAATGCAATATAACCAACAAGTCTGCATTGCTATACTGTATACCAATTCACCTGAACAAGGGATTTCTGTGACCCAAAACCGAAATAATGACATTTTTTTCCATTGAGGATGTGTCATTAAGTTTAAATGTTGATTACAGTTCTCATAAGATAAGAAAAAGTCATAAAGTAAACGGGAAGTATGTTTGAGCATATAAAATACAACATGAGGGTTGAATACCATTTAAGCCAATCTCACTTTACATCAAAATCCCAGTTTCATTCACTTCCAGTAAAGTAATGTTCACTTCTTGCCATGCTAATTCATTCATAACACTCTCACCTCAGTGAATAACATGTATATATCAACAATAAACTACGCTACACACAATTATCCCTTACGGCACTGGATATATATCTGGGAAAGCGGTTGTTGTACAATGTGGAATGACTCCATGGCGCGGAATGACAATGGACATTCTCAGCAGCCATCGTTTCATTCTTTCTCTAGTAGGATGCATTAAAACAAAGACAAACCAAAAGCGGAATTTAAACTATATCGATCAACAGATGATCCTCACTGCTACACGAACATGTGTCAAATCCAGCAACTTAAGGAGGCGGTTGTGATCTCTATTGTGGCAACAGAGCTGTTAAAGACAAAAGACGAACCTGAGAAAGACAATCACTCAAAGTGCTCCTGTTTCTTTCTCATTTTGCATTGCACTATGTCCACAGATCCTCTCGATACAGAAGCAAAATTAATACAGACGCGATAGTGATCACAGTTTTTGCTCGGAAAGCACACCAAGGCAACTTTAAGCGAGCCTTTATTACTCTATTTTAGCGTGTTCTTCTTCTTACCTTGCTGTAACTCCTGACAGATCGGGCTTTAGGAAAGCAGAAAAACACACTCTCTTTGCAGACTTGGATTGGTGGGACGATACGTAGCGAATGTAAATCCTTTTCGGCGAGTTTTTGTCCGTGGGCCCAGCCCGCTGCTCTCTCTCTAACCCTCGCTCGGTCTGTTCAAGCTCTCGCTCTCAGCCAGCGCGAGTCAATGCACGGGTGACGTCACCCCTGCCATGGCACAGCGCGAGCGAGAGCTCTGATGATGATGTTGATGGAGGGGCTTCTCAGATATTAAATCACTTTATACTTTTTATAGTGTACGATATACTAATGAAGTATGGTAAAGTTTAGAAACGTGTAAGTTACTTCATGCACGAGAGCAGTGCACTTTATAAATTGCAGTAGGCTACATTTTAACTGAAAGATGCATGCTTACTAAAAATTATTAATAATACGGTTGAATGACTTACATTATCTTTTCTACAAAAATAAACTATTCCCCAAATATATAATACAAAAATATTTGACAAAAATATAGTAGGCTACAGCCGTCTGCGCTGATAGCCTTGTGGGCAGCAGGCAGACATGGGCGACCTGAGTTCGAATCCACTGAGGACATTTCCCGATCCCGCCCCTATCTCTCTCCCACTTCGCTTCCTGCCAGTTCTGATCAGTCCTATCTTAAGGCGAAACTGCCAAAAAAATAAATATTAAAAAAAAAAAAAAAACTGTGCTATATATAGTTGTATGTTGCATTTTTATATATTTTAATAATCTTTTTAAATAAATGAGTATTTTGTTAAAACAATTACTTGAATTAAAAGTATTAAAGGTTTAATTGTAATATGTTTTTGTTTATTTTTTAAATTAATGAAAAAAATATATATTTTTTTTTTATTAAACAGTACTACAGTAGTACTGTATATACTGTATATGGAGGCCTACTCAATTTTGAAAAAATATATTTTTGTAATCTAAGCAAAATAGAAATCTCTAATTTATTGTAGTAGCCTACATATGTGGCCCTGTACCACAAAACCAGTCATAAGGGTCAAATTCAAAATTGATTTATCACCTGAAAGCCGAATAAATAAGCTTTCCATTGATGTATGGTTTGTTAGGATAGGACAATATTTGAGATACAACTATTTGAAAATCTGGAATCTGACGGTGCAAAAAAATCAAAAGAAAATCGCCTTTAAAGTTGTCCAAATTAAGTTCTTAGCAATGCATATTACTAATCAAAAATTAAGTTTTGATATATTTACGGTAGGAAATTTACAAAATATCTTCATGGAACCTGATCTTTACTTAATGTCCTAATGATTTTTGGCATAAAGGAAAAATCAATAATTTTGACCCATACAGTATATTGTTGGCTATTGCTACAAATATCCCCATGCTATATGACTGGTTTTGTGGTCCAGGGTCACATATTATAACAATTTGTTTCGCAATATAACCTTTGCAGCTTACTCTACCAAAACAAAGAGTTAGTACACCGATGCTTCACAGGCTTATAAAATCCTTCATGGCACAAAATAGGGTCATGTGGTGACGCTGACAGGCCATATCCTTCTTCTGTTTTCTGTTTAAGATTTAGTGAAAGCTGTAAATGTTTTCAGCAATGCACATTTTTATTCACTGGAACTATCGTGTCTGCTGCCAAAACCTGACTGGAACTGCAGAGTACTGTAGTAGAATGTCATCCCATCGTTGTCACATGAAAGAATGAGTAAGTCTGATTCACCGCTGATATTCTTATAGTTTCAGGAGATGGAGGGAAAAACCCCACACGTATTAATTGGATTTTGATGAAGGTTTCTCTCAGGCTGAAGAATGATGTTTTATTGGCTCAATAAATGCCTGCAATGCAATGACCAAGAGTGCTTTCAACTGAATAGTTATCTACAGAGTACTGAGGCAATTTAATCATACTTCTTCTCTTTAGTGGGATTAAATCATGTATAAAACAAACGACAGCTGTGAAAATGGGCTAAGGAGGCAAAGTTCATCGCATTTTAAACAGCACTCTTAAAATAAAGGTTCCAAAAAGGGGGTTTTCACAGCAATGCCATTAAAGAACCATTTTGGGTCGCCCAAAAAAACTGTCAGGGAACAGTTCTTAAAAGAACCATGAAGAACACTAATAATCTAAAGAACCTTTTTCTGCTATAAAGAAACTTGAACAATGGAAAGACTGCATGGATGTTAAAGGTTCTTCATGGAACCACAGATGCCAACACAGTTTAGACAAGTTTAGAGAACTGACTAAAATGATAGCAATGTCCAGGAACTAATACTAGAGTTATACAGTGTCACCTGTAAAGTGGTTCTGGTGGATTAGTCAAAATGGTATGCAAAATGATCTGCCGCTTAGCAGATTCAAACTAGACAGATGTACACAACACAATATGGACTATCTAAACCAATGTATTTACATACAGTATATCTGCCTCTCAGTATCTCCATGAACTGAGCCAGCCTTCTGTGTTCTGCATTCTCACAACCGGGCATCAGGCCTGTGTTTGAGGAACAGCATTGTGATCCTCTGCGTGTTAGGGCCTGAAAACATGGATAATGGCCCGTTCTAATCATGGATTTGTGCCTGACACATTATGATTTCACATGGTAAAGCTAAACATAGTGTATCACATTATTTCAGATTATCGATTTAGACAGTTCACAACCGGGCATCAGGCCTAATCCTGTGTTTGAGGAACAGCATTGTGATCCTCTGCGTGTTAGGGCCTGAAAACATGGATAATGGCCCGTTCTAATCATGGATTTGTGCCTGACACATTATGATTTCACATGGTAAAGCTAAACATAGTGTATCACATTATTTCAGATTATCGATTTAGACAGTCTATGGCAAAAATGGACTCAACAAGGCCTATTATTTTCTAATCTGAGCATTATAAATTACAGAAATTATTACAAATCATTTGAGGCCATGTGACAATGCCTGATTGAAACAACTGCTGTTGTTTTATAATACCTATTCTTTCACTTAGTATTTAAAAAAGAAAGAAAGAAAGAAGTAGTAGTATGCGGTATACAGTGCATAGTGTGCAGTATTCAGTAATAATAATAATAAGCTAATATTCCATTCTGAACACAGACTCTGTGCATATTACCCTGCTTCATCAGGGCACAGCTGCATCAGAGCTACAACAGCCTTGCACGTCATATTTATTAAACTAGCCTGCATAAACAGGTTACTATATATGCTGTTTCAGCAAATATGGATGAGTCTAAGAAAACTGATGGCAAGAGGAATATAATAACGTCTCAAGACTTTCAGTGAATACGCTAAGAAACAAGAAAATGAAGGCCCTGTCATATCATACAGTCATGGCTTGCATGATTAATTCTGCCTGCATGACCTCAGATCTAAATACAGTAACAATTACTGCCAAGAAATACCCTATTTTCTTATACATATGTATATATACAGTATGTGTGATATATATATATATATATATATATATATATACAGTATGTGTATACAGTATATATACAGTATGTGTGACCCGAGCGATCACAACTAAGGAGGATCTCATTGTGATGTACACACAAGAGCAATGTTGGCATCCAAAAAGGTGTTTATTTAGAGCAGATGTGCAAAATGTGCAAACAATATGAGCATAAAAACAAGTTATTAATAAAACAGTCTAAAACTGGAACTGCAAGGTACTAAAAATAATGCTAAAACAATAAGGCTGGAGTTTACCTCACTTAACCAGTATTACAATAACCTTGTTCCCCCTTGCTACTAGTGATAACCATGATACAGCCTACATCATTCCTGCTCCAATGCTAATTGGAACATACCATTTTTTGCCTCACCTTGATTAAGTACATAAGAATTAAGAACAAGAGGTAGAGTTAAATAGGTGAATACAATAAAAACAATGGATAAAACCAAGAAATATTTGCACAAACCTTTCCAAGAATAGCTAAAACGAGCACTTTCCACAAGTTTGGGCCACTATTAATGCAATGCCCACTCAGCTAAAACAAGAAATAAACACCAGCAAAGCACACATATATTATAAATACATAAGAACAGTAAGAACACAATAAAAACAGTGATAGAAGACAATTTGTAGGTCTCTCCATCACTATCTGTCCGTCTGTCTGTCTGTCTCTCTCTCTATCTATCTATCTATCTATCTGATGGCCATTTTGAAAATACTGTCACAGTTTCAAAAAGAATGACAATGACTCGACCTCAAATTGAAAATCAATTTCAATAATAGAAGTGGTTTGGATGTTGTCGTTCCTCTAATGGGAAGACAACAATGTAATTGAGGTCAATTATCCAGTGTTTTCTCTGTGTGATGAATTATTGGGCTGTGCACAGAAGCAAAGTAAATCAAGTGACAAAGTTAACTGATTAATGGGATCGTTTGAGATTTTGGAAAGAGAGCATTTCTCACAATTAAGACCCATTAAACGCAGTCATGGTTAATAGTTTCAAATGAATTTCAAATGAACGTTTGGGCTTGTAGTTATCTTGCTCGTTAACATACCTACAGAAGGTATAATATGACTGTTTAAACAGTTTATATGCTGAGGTGGAGGTCTTTTACAAAACGCACAACATTCATGAAAAGGAAAGGTGATACCATTAGGTACACTTGCTCTGCAACCACACACACGAATTTTCACAATGTTCATAACGAGTGTTCCCATTAGTCACGGACTCGGAGTGCATTGATAATAGCTGCTCTCCGGCAGCAGGGGATTATGGAAACTGAGAATAATATTAAGGGAGATAGGAGCCCAGACAACATTAACGGGGAAAAGTCAACAAGACAAACACAGACTAAATATATTATATTGTCGTTGATAGCTATATATTTATTTTGGTTATATAAGCATGGAAATTAATAAGACAAAACTCGCCGAAAGAGTATTGATGTAATTAATATCAATATTTCGATTGACAAACCATGGGCAATGTTTTATTATGCTTTAGCGCCCCCAAATGATTGATCGTGGCATTACAGCGTGCAATTGCACCAATAGAGGGCACAGTTCTGACCACAATCTCTGATTTGAAACGTTTCCTCATGTTTCCTCATTTGTGCTTTAGATGTGCACAGATATGCTTTCTTTTCTTTTCTTTTACATAGCTGATCTTTCTTGTGTTTTGTTGTGC